GAGACAAGAGACAGACAGAGAGACAGAGAGACAAGACACAGACAGAGAGACAGAGAGACAGACACAGACAGAGAGACAGACACACACACAATCACACACATACACGCGCACACACACATAATTCACACCGCGTCACATGTCTGGATTTGCTGACTGCAGCACGGTGAACTTTGCGCGTGCTGTGATGCGGTCTGTGTCGCTCATGGGTAGCGACCGGCACCAGCTCGCCAGCGAGGCAGAGTCCGTCCTCAACGCAGCAGAGCAGGTGCAAACCCAGCGGGTTGTACTTGGGGCTTGTATGACACAGACGTGACGTGAACCTGCGACAGTCACAAGCCCTCGTCCACAATACACACATTCGCACACACACACACACATACACACATACGCACACACACATACACACATACGCACACACGCACACACACACACATACGCACACACACACCACGCACACTCTCTTTCTCTCACACTCTCTTTCTCTCTCACACACACTCACACACACTCTCACACACACACACTGACGCGCACTGATGTAGGATCCTGAGTTGCAAGCGTTGCTGACGTCCATCCTGGAGGAAGATGACGATGATGCACAGGAAGCCAGCAGCGCGCCTTCACAGCCACCCAAGGAGGTTGATCCACTCACCACCGTTCCAGACCATGCGCTGAAGTGCACAGGTACGTCATGCCCATGCGTCGCAACACAACAGAATGGCAACAAAACCCAACACATGGATTCTGGCCTCTGTAACTGGAAGGAACATGCTCAATGATGACGCACGCGAGCATGCGCTTGAGCGCACCCTTGAACAGCGTGCGGCTTACGTCGAACCAACACACTGCGTGGGCTGACTGCAGATCCAGCGCCTACAGCGGACATTGTCAAGCGAAACCACGAGCTGCTCTCCAGAATGCAAGCGGAGCAGGTGGCGCGCGTGTCCACCGGTCGTCCATGGGAGATTGGGCCACGCGAGATACAGCTTGGTACCGTGTATGGGTGTCCTTGTGCTTGTGTGCGTGCTTGTGTGCGTGCTTGTGTGCGTGCGCTTGACGTGTCTGTCGGTTGCATGGCAAAGTCTCGTGTTTGAGCCAGCTCCACTGCCCATCACGCTCACTCTTCCATTCCATACTTTATGCCAACAGCCAACCACCTTCGGCACAACCTGAAGATTGTGATTGCGCGACGCACTCCGAAGCAAGTCACGGATATTTCAGGTGCGCTTCCTCATCAGTTACCACCACACACGGCGTTTGAGCACATACCTACAGTTCTTGCGTCCTGCAGACCTTGCTCACGCGACTTGCTCACCACGTTCATTCGCTCGCACACACACACGCACACACACACACATGCTGATCAGCGGTTCGGTCGCTGGCTGGTGTACAGGCGCGGACGCGGCCTCCGAGCGGGAAGCGAAGAGCGTATGCGGCAAAGGCGTTTATTGAACAGCACGCAAAGCGGTGGGTTCGTGTCATGCACGCACACAAACACACACAAACACACATACACACGCACACACAACCACGCATACACACGCACACACATACACACACTCTTTGCCTTCTTGGCTTGGCGCAGCGAGAGAAGAGAGCAGGGTTGTTCAGGGCTTCACATATTCGAACAAACGTGTGTCTTGATCTTGTTTGCAGGGCGGCCACGGCGGAGGAAGAGAAGAGCTTAGATGTGCACGATAGCGAAGCAGAGGAGGAAGCCAAGACAGATGCGCAAGGGCAGGCGGCCGAGAGTGATCGCGAGGCAGACGCGGCAGCAGGTGAGCAGAGTGCACGTGACACCAGCGCCAAAGCAACGGCGGCAGCAACTGACTCCACAACAACTGCCGACGAAGCTGCGGATCCTACACGAGGGACAGCAACGCCCAAGATGATCCAGTGCGAACGGTGCGGTGGTCTTGGACTGCAGTTCCATCGGCCGGTTCTCCACGGCATCCCAGAGCTCCTCTGCCAAGGTACCCACACCTACAACAACAAAGACACAGGGACACACACACACACACACACACACACACACACACACACACACACACACACACACACACACACACACACACACACACACACACACACACACACACACACCTTTCGAGGTGCTTTGACAAACTTGTCAGCTCACATGCATGTTTTTGTCGTTGCGTTGACAGCGTGTGGGGAGCACTGGGAGCAGTATCGGTTGCCTCGCCTTGTTCAATTCGACCCGGACAGCGAATGCACCATCAAGCTACAGGCAAAACCGTACCTCTTCAGAACCAAGTGAAGCAGCCTCGGTCCGTCTGCGTGTGTGCGTGTGCGCGTGTGCGCGTGTGTGTTTATGGATGTCGAATTCATCTGCACACCTGCGTCTTCAAATGCAATGCCGTTGTAATAATTGTCACAGCATGCTCTCTTTGCGGTGTTGGTTTACTTCTCACGTTGCAGCGACCGTCAAGACACCACATCACATCACACACACACACACATTTCTGTGGCACAAGTAAACGAAGGCAAACCGAAAGCAAAACTGAAGAAGCAAGCTGTGGGTTGGTTCGCAGCACATTCAACCCACACATGACAAAGGAAACAAACACCATCTTCTCAGCATAACACGCGCGAACGTATGACACCACCACCAGCCGTTGTCTCGGTCCAGCTATGCAGGTGGCGGTGGTGGCGGTGGAGGAGGAGGTGGTGGTGGCGGCGGTGGCGGTGCGCCTGAGTTTGCTGTGTCTGGCTGTGGGGGAGGAGGTGGAGGGCCACCATCTGAACCCTGCTGTTGCTGTTGCTGTTGCTGCTGTTGCTGCTGTTGCTGCTGCTGATCTTGCTCACCGGGTTGCTGCTGGTCAGTGCCAGCCACCGTCTGTGTGTCTGTCTCCTCGGCGGCCTCCTCGGCGGCGGTCTTGTCCGCACGGAAGAAGATGCGTGCACTCGTGATCGAGTAGAACAGCATGTCCATCTCCTGTACATGCGCGTGTGTGTATTTGCGTGTGTGCGTGTGTTTGCGTGTGAGGGGATAGCAAGGACAAGATGGTGGAGTAAGAACAAGCGACCACGCGTGCATAGATGCAAGTGTAATTGCGTGTGCGTGCGCGTGTGTATGTGTGCGTATGTGTGTATGTTGGCACGCACGAACAGCGCACCCGTTCGTATCGCTCGATGCGCTTGAGGGACAGAGAAAGGGCTTCCTGGTACTTGTCATCAGCTCGTTTGCTTGTCCTTGACTCCTGCGTTTCAGCCTGAACCAAGAAACGAAGATTGAACAATAAACAGCCGGCGCACGTGTGCTATCAGCGCATCATCACCGCACGGGAACAAGCAAGCAAACACACACACACACACAACACGACGCACAACACACACACACACAACACGACGCACAACACACACACACACACACACAACACAGCACATGGACACACGCACATATACGCACACACACACTCACACGCTACCAGCGAAAGAAAGGAAACAAACGAGCAACCAAACACAGAAACAAGCAGAACAATCAATCCAGCAAGCACAGCAGCCGTACCCGCTGCTTGCGGTAGTGGGCCTTGCACTGCTGGAACCAGTGCAGCGCGTCAAAGGCCTCATATTGATCCAGGACCTTGAGGATGTATGCGATGCCTGACGACAGATGACACAGACAAAGAGAAACACGCGTGGGCAGGTGGGAAGGGATCTCTGGGTGAGTGCAAATGGACAGTGGTCGACAGGGGAGGAAGGAGAGAGCCGAGGATATGCAGCTGCAGCAGGACGTGCGGTGATACCACTGCCAGCATCAAGACCATGCGTGCGTGCGTGTGTGTGTGTGTGTGTGTGTGCCCTCGTACCCATGGCAAAGCCGTCGTCAGTGAAAGCAGCACCCTCCTTGTTCTTCTTTGTGATGCGGTCCTTGGCGCTGATCATGTGCTCAACAAAGGTGATGGTCTACATATCACACCGCACATCCAGCCACACAAATGGCATGTGAGTTTGGCACATGTGGCACAGACAACAACGAGCACTCCATGGTGTTTTTCGCATATAAATAGAGAGACAGACGGGAGACATCCAGCCACGCACACACAGACGCATGACACACGCTGTGTCCACGTCATTCAAGCAAGCATTGTGTTGCTGGCAGCGTACCAATGCCGGCACAATGATGTAGAAGTTGCCGAGATGTTTGTTCTTGTCGCTGCGCATGGGCTTTGCAAACGTGTTCACCAGCATCTATATGTTGATTGGCACGCAGAGAACAGGCAGGCATGAGCAAAGGCAAAAGGTGCCAAACATCAAGGGGGTGACAGATGAGCGACCAGGTACTTCAGACAGGTTACACACCAGGACACAATGGCAGGCAAGACAGGCGCGCACACCCACCCACCCACACGCACGCACGCACACTCACACACACACCCTGAAGTAATCTGTGCCCTCTGCGACGTTGCTTGCGAGGTTCTTGAGAACGCTGTCCAGGTTTCGGGCGGCGCGTTTCGTCTCCTCAGAGACCTGTTCGTCATCAAGCATCTCCGCAAAGCTTGGGATGTCCTCCAGATCCGGCACAAAGCGGATGGCGTTTGAACACATGTTCAGCCCACCAGAACGCAGCATTCGGATGTAACCCATGCCGTTGCCTTGTTGGTTTGTGCATTTTGTTTGGGGGGGGGGAGAGGTGGAGGCGTGGATGGATTGGGTCAAGGGGTGAATAAGAATGATGGTGTTACACACGCGCGCTGATCAAAGCGATATGCACACAGACACACACAGACAGACACAGACACAGACACACACAAACACAGACGCAGACACAGACACAAACACACACACACACACACACAACACACACACACACACACACACACACACACACACACACACACACACAGACAAAAGCGGCGTGGCGCACCAATCTCGGTAATGAGGTGGCGGAACTGGTCAAGGCAGGACTGCCCCTTGGAGTTGACGCCAAGCTGGCGCACGGCCTTTGTGAACTTGAGGGCGCGCTCAAACGGATACTGCTGGTCCGTCTTGTTGCGGATCTCGCGGTAGTACTTGATGTCCTGCGCATGCAGCACGTGGACGTGGACGGGAGAGGAGGAGGGGATTGAGAAAGAGAATAGGGGAAGAATAAGAGGAGGAGGAGGAGGAGGAGGAGGACATAGAAGGGATGATGGTGAAGGAATGCCATTACGCCTTGGGGCATGCAAATAGACAAACGCCGAGCGAGCGGCACAGACACAGACACAGACACACACATACACAGACACACGCAGACACAGGCAGACAGACATACACACACATACACACAGCGCCAAGTTCACGGACCTTCATGAGCTTTGACTTGATGTGATCGTCAAAGAGGAACATGGAGAATGTGCGCAGCTTCTTGCTGAGGAACTGGTAGGTGAAGTTGACGGCGGTGTTGATGATGCCCGTGCCGTGGGTGCGGATGGAGTTGGCAAAGTGCTGGATGTTGATCGTGTTCAGGAACTTGTTCTTTGACGATTTCTCAACGAAAATCTGTGTGTGTGTGTGTGTGTGCGTGTGTGTGTGTGTGCGTGCGTGCGTGTGTGTGTGTGTGTGTGTGTGTGTGTGTGTGTGTGTGTGTGTGTGTGTGTGTGTGTGTGAGGGAGTGGTGGAGGAGGACGCGGGCGCTGTATGTGTTGCATCAAAGCAAAAGGGCATACACATGAAGACTGCACACACACACACATACACACACACGTGCGCATGCACCATACCTGATTGTTCAGGTTGTAGTTGTACTTGACAACAAACATGTGGATGTTGCGGAGGATTTGCAACACATCCAACCCCTGTAGCAACGACAATAGGAGTGAGCAACGCAAGTGCAAAACCGTGAGAGACAGAGGGGGGAAGACACCAAAATGAATGCAGCAAACTAGGCATGGTGCCTGCAACACCAGCACAGCCAAAAAAGGAGGAAGAGAGATGCGTGTGTTAATGAATGAAGACGAAGAAGCACGCGCAACGCATTGAGCCACACACCTGCTCAAGGGTTCCGCTGGGAAGATGGGACTCTTGCAGACTCAGCCCGTACTTGGCCTCGGCAAGGATCTTCATCTGTTGACGCGGGTGGCGGGAGGAAGGTGGATTGACAGTTGGGGGAGGGAGGGAGGTGGAGTGCGGCGTGAGATGATTCCATCAAGGAAAAGCAGGAAACGGTGTGGCCTTTGAGGCGTGCGCAGCAGACACCAATGGTGGCAAAGAGGAGGGGGAGGAGGAGGGGAGGAGGCAGAGCAGTGATAGATAGGGCGTGTGCGTGTCTCTTCCACATCAACAAACAAACAAACAAACAAACAAACACACACACACACACAGACAGAGAGGGGTCCAAGTACTGTACCTGTCCGTAGCTGCGCCAGTCATGGAGGGCCACGGTGGTGATGTTGTAGAAGGTTGTGTCGAGGTAGTGCGTCACTTCCGTCTTCACATTCACCGTCAGCCCATCAAAGTTGATGGGCGACAGCTGAAAGCGGTCCACAAGCCATTCACGCGAGAAACACACGCATGTGAAGGGAGTCAGGCAACGGTTGCATGCAGACACACACACACACACACACAGACGCACCCAAGTCGAAACAAACAGAACATGAGCCGCAAAGTAGGTAATCTAATGTTCACGCTAGCAGTGGATTTGGGGGAGGAGGAGAGAAAAGCGAGGCGACAAAGCAAAGTGCATTGAGAGTGCGCCACTCACGTTGATGAATGGGGTCAGGTCCTTGACCTCTGACTGCAGCGGGTTCTTCTCTTCTGATTTCTGCACGTGCACACGCGCGCGTGTGTGTCACGATGAGACAGTGAGTGTGAGAACAATCGGGGCACGACGAATGCAGTGTAACGAGCGGATATTGAGCCGAAACATATATACACACACCCGCACATTGATGACAACAGGCACTCATCAAGACTGCAGTTCATCAGTGAGAGCGTGAACACACCGCAATCACATCTGTGAGGATCTGGAAGCGGAGGTCTGTCTCAATGTCCTCGCACAGCGGTGTGATCACATGTTGGCCTGAACACATGACGGAGGTCGAGGTGTGTGTGAACGAAGGAAGCAAGGTGAATGAGGGAACAAAGAAGTAGAGGTGGTGCAGTTGCATGAGACCAGGCACCGGTGACCATTGTTGTTGTTGTTGTTGTTGTTGTTGTTGTTGTTGTTGTTGTTGTTGTTGTTGTTGTTGTTGTTGTTGTTGTTGTTGTTGTTGTGTGTGTGTGTGCATGCGCGCGTGCTCGTGATGGGGACGCACGGAAGAGGCCGAGGAGTTCGTCCTTGAACGGCTGCACGAGCGGCTCCTCCGTCACCTGACACACACACACACACACACACACACACACACACACACACACACACACACACACACACACACACACACACACAGAGAG